TGTTGGAATGGAGTCTGTCACTGGGCCTGGGCTTTTCTTTCAAAATGACTTTCTCAACTCGGAGCGACACTCCAAACGGAGCAGGGCAACCTAATTAAATCTGACCTAATCTGGTGTCTGCCAGCCAGCTGCTTGTGTGTGTGTGTGTGTGTGTGTGTGTGTGTGTGTGTGTGTGCGTGTGCGTGTGCGTGTTGGAGATTTAAAAATGCTCCAATTTCTGGCTCTATTTTTTATTATTTTTTTCTCTATGAGTTTAGAAGTTGTTATGCAGTAAATCAAAGGAGTCGAATCACGTTTTTTGTCCTGCATTTAACGCAGCTGAACAGATGTAACAGAAACCCTCGCAACTGTCCGGCCTGCAAAGGCGCACGCTGCGGGGCCATCATCCCGGAAGAGGCGGCGACGTGAGCAATCGTTAAAAAAAAAAAAAAACTTGACAAGCATTGCTGCAACCGGCGACGCAACGGCGAAAAAAACCCTCAGCTCAATAACAAGCCACCACTATCGAGCGCGAGCTGGGTTTTTTTGTTTGTTTGTTTGTTTGTTTTTTATCCAGCCTCTCTATTTCTGTTTCACTCTGAACTTTTCTCCTTTTTACTTGTCCTCTCTCCATCTCCAGCGCATGATCTGGCTGGTGCAAGCAAGGCGCGACTCAATTGTGCAATTTCAGACATGTTTACTTCGCTGGCATCTTTCTGAGCATATTTTCCCCCTGAACATTTCCCCTGCGTTTCCTCTACAGCGGCACACCGTCTTTAATCTTCCCTTCACAACACCGTTTCTTGGCTTAAAGTCTGAATATGATAACAGTGTCGGATAATTTTTTGTTTGTTTGTTTGTTTTTGTTTCTTCCTTTTTCTTTTGGCCCCGAGAGTTTGCACACTCTTCAAACACGCGTCAAAGCTCATTTTAGACCGAGGGGTGGGGAGAAGAAAAAGAAAGTAGCTCTTCGTGTAAACATTTAGACAACAGTCATCTTGTGCATGAAAAACAGCTGGAAGTTGAGCAAGTTAACGGGGGGAGTTAACTTGCGGAGTTAACCCGGAGCTCTGTCAGGGTGAAAGGGCAGCGCAGCCAACATGTGCACCGGCGGGAGGGTGATCGTGGGACTTCTTGGGAAAGCTAAAGGCGTAATAAAGTTTTTGGAAAAAAAAATCACAATGCTGCGATTCCTTTTTCTTTTTTGCCTAAGAAAAGTGCAGTTTTGGGGGGGAAATAAATGGGAAGCTGCTGCTGCTTGTAATAATAATAATTAAAAAAAGTCTTGTTCCTCGTGCTTCTGAGCAGCGGGACAGGTGAGACCTGCAGGTGGACAGGTGCAGCAAGTGAATACATCAGGTAACTGAGATCATTTGCTAATTAAGGCAGATTAATGTCTGTTAAGACAATAAGGCAGCAGGAATACAGCGAGACTTCAAGCGTGAATAGTAAAACAGATTATTTTTAAGGGTCTAAATATTAGCTAGAAAAATACATTTTTTGTTTGTGAATATAGTGTTCAATATAACAATTTTACTTTGTTTTGATAAAGCCCAGATTTATTTTTTTTTATGCAGCTAAGCTGTTGGTTCGGTCAACCTTCTTATTAGCTGGACTTTGCTGCATAGGATATTAAGGCTGATAAATCGATTGTATTATCAGTTTATATATTAAATTGAATATATTGAGTTTAAAAAAAGGCTTAGTTCTGACATGAATTTCTGCGTTGGAGCGAGAATGTAAGTTTGTTTTTGCCTGTAGCCTAGCCTAGCTAGTTTGGAAGAGCAGGTTAACGTAAGGCGTTATAGCTAACTGGGCCTCTTATCTCTGACGCTAATGACGTCACTGCTAATGGACGGCGCACTCTGGTCTAGCTTTATGCCACCTTGTTTGAGTACATTTAAAAATGCCGCGTCAGGCTTCAAGCTAGCTTAGCGACACCACCGACACTAAAGTCAGCTTGCTAGCAGTTTGTGACCCCTGTGTCACTAATGAACACTTCAGGTTGTGGAGCAAATGTTTACATGCTACGCCGCTGAATGAAGGCTAAAGCTAACAGTCGGTTTCAGGAGTGTGGCATCAGTTCATTTAGGAATGAACAGAAGTGCCATGACATGCCAGATGAAAGAAGACCTTTACTATAATGCCAAATTAGTCAGAGGCCTAGCTTGGTTAGGTTTCAGTTTGACGTGTGAAAGTCATGAAATTTGTTCTTCGGTTTTGCTTTTACTTTTGTCATGTCTGCTAAGTGCTTCAGTCTTTCTGGCAAACGCTGTAAGATCTAATAAAAGTTAAACAGCGGTAGGAGAACAGGACAACTCAGCTTGTCAGAGTCACATAATCTTTTCCTGTTCTGCTGGTGGAGAAACACTTTCTTTCACAAAAACTGGCAGAGAGCCCTCTACTACGGCCTTCCCCTTTAACTTTTAATTTTTAAGATTTTTTCTATTTTATATGACTGCAAATCAGTTTTTAAGAACCCATTAAATAAATTTTAGAGGATCTTAATCTAAACTTTTATGGTGGCCCTGAGAGGCTTTCTGTGTTGGTTTCTGATCTAAATAACATTAACAAGGCAAATGGCACAAAATCCCTTGGGGCCACACCAGTAAATTGAAACAAGGCTCCAATAATTTGACTGTGACTAAATTAGACAGCCACAGAGAAAAGGAAACACGCCGACATTTTTATTACTCATTTACATTTTACTTTCGGAGCCACATGAAATTATTTACAGTGCCGCACTGTAGCCATTTCACCCCACTTGAATCTTTTTATTATTATTTTTTTTTTACATTTTGTCAGGTTACAACCGCAACATTGTGTGTATTTAACTGATATTTTATCTGACAGATTTACCCAAAGTAGTGAATAATTGCAAAGTAGAAGGGTAAAACACACAAAGTCTATAAGCACCCAAAAATGAAAATCCAAAAAGTGTGGAGTGCATTTTTGTTTAGCTACTTAATTCTAAATGGAGTACAGGTAAACTATGCTGGGGGGCTATTTTCATTATTTCAATTTATTTTCTGATGAAAAACGAACAACTGGGCAAGTAAACAGTCTTAAATATAAACCCTAAAATACAATGAAGCAGCTTGGAGGAAAACATTCAGGCATTAAACTGGCCCGATCCAAACAAAAACCCTTGTTGAGGACAATAATACAAAAAATCAGTTGTGCAAAGACTTGGCAAACAATTAGCTAGTTTGCAAAAATTTGCTCAAAATAATTAAAAATGCAAGCCACACTTTTCAGATTATTATTCGTAAATTTAAAAAAAGGAAAACTATGACGAGACGCACTCAAGTTTGCGGTTGCAGCACGACAAAACACGGCGTTGTAAAGATTAACAGGGTAACATCTCAGATGCAAACAACGTCCTTAAATATATACGTCACCCTCGAGTCATGGTCACGGTGCAGCTCCTAAAGCACACACCCACGGTGCAGCTCCTAAAGCACACACCCACGGTGACACTGAGCAGAAGTTTTATTCCCAAAGAGCAAATAAGAGGAAGGAACAGAGGAGATAGAGTCCACTGCTTTTCTGAATCCAGGGCTTCAGAAGTACGAACTGGCTTTTCATACTGAGACAATGGCTCACGTCCACCCCGCTGCGCTCTCCCCGCTCCTCTCCCTCCCCGTATCTGCTGGTGAGCAGAAACACACGGCACATCCTGCTCAGCGCTGCTCACCAGCCAAAAGTTCACTTCCTGCTCCTCAGCTCTTCTCCTTCGCAGCAAAAAAAAAAAAAAAAAAAAATCTATTCCCAGGACACGCACCAACACAGCTCATCTTACGCCCAGATAGCGCGGTGACAGACAAACAAACAAGTAAATATTTCCCCTGGCCTATGGATGCTCGGCCAACGCAAGCTGCTGCACACGTTAAAGCAGATGGAGAAAATTTCAAAGAGTGCATACTGTAAAAAAAAAAAAAAAAAAAAATAAACGATTCTAGCATTATCTTTCCGTTTCCGCTCAGCGCAGATTTGAAGTGGAAACGTATCGTGTTATTTTGGTGGTGCTGGCAAGGAGTTGGATTTTCACTTGAGCCAGTGAATGAGAGAGAGCAAAGGAGCCTCGAATTCCCACGACTCACATCCGCTTGTTCCTACATTTTACGACACATGCACTTGTTTATGGAGCGTGTGTTTTTTTTCTCTACCAGCGAGAGCCCTGCGAGCTTGTGTTTTAGACTTTTTGGTCACGAAGCTCAGCCGAAGGCACCGGGAGGCCGAGAGCGAGCGAGCCGACTTCCTCTGCGCGAGCGCGACCTCTGTCTGGCCGGTGTCAAAAGTTCAACATCTTCAGGAGAAAAAAGGGGGGCAGAGCGAGGTGAGGTTAGTTTCCGAGATACTGCCGGCCTGTTAAAGGAAGTGCTGATGAGGCATCACATCGCGTCTTTGTGGGTGGGGGAAGAGATTTCAAAACACAGCACTTGCAAACCTAGATATCGCCGTACATGTGGCTAAAGAACATTTTCAAGAAATAAAAACGCAAACCGTGTATACCCAGTTACTAAAAATCACAAACATTTACAGCCTCTAAGGGTGTAGAAGTACAACATGTCAAACGAAGCGCCTCTTTGAGGACGACAGTAACCGTATATGAAAAGAAAAAACATAACATCACATGTCATCGCTTCACCCATAAAACTATAATAGGAAAGGTAAACACACGAAGAAAAACCACAGGTTTAAAAACAGGGACCGCTTCCCCATTAGTGAAGAACAAGGTGTATTTGTCATGGGGGTGGTGAGGCTGATATTTTAAGGTTTACAAAATCTTAGCTGGGTTCAGTCCTGAGGTAAGCACCAGTCTTTTTTTTTTTTTTTTTTGTTGTTGTTGTTTTTTTTCCTTTCTTTTTTTTTAATGTGCGCCACAAATCAAAAAGAAGACAAGAACAGAAAGTCACAAGATAAAGCATGCTCGATATGATCATATGCTACTGGAAGAGACGCCCTTAAATTATTGTTACATTTGAAAAAAAAAAAAAAAACATTCACAAAAGTTTTTTTTTTTTTTTTTTACTTTAAGGCTTTCAGAATAACTACTTCTGTCACAGTGTATTTATGGCTTTAGTCTTCACATTCACCTCCAGAGGTTGGCGTTGGCACTATAGTGGTCAATTTTTTTTGCATTTTTTTTTCCTAATCTAAATCAAGGACTAGCTATAAAAAGAAAGAAAAAAAAGGGCCAACATATTCTTTGGTAGAAAGAAATGCAGACAAAGAAAAAAAATGTGCCTTCAAAACACAACTTTTTTTTTTAAGTGCTCTTTGTGTTTTCAAGTTGGAAGAATTCCTCAGGTCAGAAAATAAGTTTTTATCTCAAAACTTTGGCTTGAGCGGGTCTGACATCAGGGGAGTGAGGGGAGGAGGCAGAGAGGCAAGAGGAGACACTTGGGGCTCAGATGTAACGTTTTACAGTGGATCAGAGGAGTGAGATGGCAGGCGTGAAATGGGACATCATGCTGGCGAGCAAGTGCGAATTGTCCAGGAGAAAGTGGGATTTCACAGGGATTTACTGGAGGACAGCAGCTGGGGCAGGGCTTGTTCAGGGAAGAGTCACAACAGGCTGCTTTCATCTGATCATGTTGCTTACAGATTAGCAGCCTGCTGTGTGCGAAGGGGAATATCGTCTCTCTAAGTTGGTAGAGTTCTTATAAGGCAAGGGGCCACAACCATGCCGAAAAATGAGAGGGATGAAAGTTATGGGTGAAGAGGAAAAAAAATTGGATCCTATAAAAGAATCACAATTCCTAGTCCTGGGAATTCTGGATCAATTCAAAATGCTCAAAAATTGATTTTAAAATGCTGCGCTGAAGCATCAAGAATAATTCTTTGATCTTTTTTAAATTTTTATTATTATTTAAGAAATTTAAATTGGCAATTTATGTTGCAGACTTTTATGCACAAACCCTGCTTTTGTGTAAACTGATTAGATTTGATGCAGTATGGAATATTAAAGAATTGCTTTAAATAAATCTTTTTTTTCTCTCACGATGCAAATCGTTTAAATGCAATCTCCAGATCGTCGGAGTGGACAAATTGGTCTCTGTTTCAAAAAAACACTTCTGAATTGAATCGTCACCATGAAAATCGGAATCAAATGGAATCGAAAGATTTGCATTTGAAATTATTAGACTGAGTGAAAAATAGCACGGATTCACATGATTAAAACCAAATAGCCGAAGAAACAAATGAATATAGTTTTACTCTAAGCTTTGGAGTTTGTACATAGACACTTGTTACTTTACACTGACTGGAAGTATGAGGCAACAAGTGGGGAGTGAGCAGAGGTTCGGTGTTACTCAGTGCTCCATCATGCAGCCCCCGGAATCTAAGGAAGCGTCCACAACCAGCCCTCTGACCACTGTTGATCATCACTCAATTATTAAAATAGAAACAATGTCTGTCGGTCAGTGACAGACTCCTTCGTCGCCAATTCCGCCCCGGCGTACGCCTCTCTGCCTCTCTGTCTCTGCAAAAGCGCAAGCCAACACCCGCGAGTCGTCATGAACAGGGATTAGTGTGTCATCAGCTGGGTATGTGCAATCGTTTCCCACTCGTGAGATCACAGGGCTCTGCTCAGTGCATCTCCTAAACAGCTGAAAGCTAAGGAACATTTGTCACACTGCAGAGGAAGCTTTAGCTCAAGAGTGGTTTAAAAGCCGGGTGTAAAGCCGATTAAGCCACCGCCGCTGTCACATAAGGGATGAGCATTTATCCACACAAAGCCCCGCCCCTCGCTTGGGAGAGGGGCAAAAAAATAATAAAATAGGCACAGAGAAATGCATTACGTTTCAGCTATTTCACATGAAAGGGGGAGACAAGCAAAGAATCAAGACACACAAAGTATCCCGTACCCCAAGACTGTTCAAAAAATAATAATAATAAAATTTGCTTTTTTCTTAATGTTGTTTAGACCTGAAAAGTTCTGAATATTGAAAAAAGTCCTGAATATTGTTCCTTTTGTGCTTTTTTTTCTTTTTTCTTTTCATACATGAATAGTACACAGGTTTAGGGTCAGATTGCAAAGTATCTCTGCAACATGTTTTCTTTGGATTTCATCATATACAAAAATAAATAAACAAATTTCCTTTTGGTTTTGACTTAGTCACTATGGCTCAATGGTTGGAATTAAGAAAAGAAAAAAAACATGTTTCTTTGCATAGACTGTACATAAATACTGAAGTTCTGTCAACGAGTGTCCCTTGGTCACAGAAAGTAGAGCTCCTTTATGAAGGAGGATTTAAAAAGATACATTAGATGCATAGAAAGGCACTTACAGTCTAAACAGTCTGGTGTGCATGAGCAGGCCCAGTTCCACTCAGGCCTGAGTCTGAGGTGCAGAGGAAGATATGGAGTTGAGGTGAATGGCTTTCAAATACTGCAAACTGTGAGTGCGCGCAGACCTGCCTGTGATTGCCACCGTCACATATCAAATGTCTTAGCTTGGCGAGTAGCGGTCGATGGTTCGGCTGTCAGAGATTGGCTGGGGAGGAGGGGGAAGTGGTTGGCCCAGGATGTCCATCTTTTCATGGGTGAGGCCCAGATGCTCCGACGCAAGCTTGGTGAGCGGGTAAAGGCTCTCGATGGCCTTTGCGTCTGCCACCAGTTGCTGCTGCGCTTGAATGAGAAGCTCGTTGGCCTTCTCCTGCTTCAGCCCCAGGTGCTCCGCTGCATACTTGCTCAGGGGGTATATGCCCTCTACAAAGTCCAGCTTCAGCTTCCCGTCTGCCGTCAGGCCGCCTCCGCCCCCCCCACGCTGTGCATCTTCATGTGGCTGATGAGGTTGCGCTGCTGGGCAAACTTCCCCCCGCACACCTGACATTCATAGGGCTTTTCCCCAGAGTGGATGCGCATGTGCTCAGTGAGGCGGTACTGGCGAGTGAAGCGCATCCCACATGAATCGCAGGCGAAAGGTTTGAGGCCCAGGTGGCTGCGCATGTGACGCGTCATGGTGCCGCGCTGTGTGAACTTCTTGCCACAGATGCTGCAGGGGTAAGGCCGCGTCAGCCAGTGCGTCTTCTCGTGTTGGCGCAATGTGGCTGGATCTTTGTAAGACTTGTCGCAGTTGGAACAGCGGTAAGGCCTGATCATCTCCCCGATGGTTCCCGAATTCAGGCCTTGGTCAGATTTGGTCTCCAGATGCGACATGTTGTTTGGAGTATTACCGCTGTTGAGGTTTCCGTAACCGTTTGTATTGCCACCAATGCCTTTGGTGCCGCTGTTGTTGTTGTTCCCCATCTCCCCAACAGAGCTATACAGCTCCTCCTCTGTGTGTGTCTCCACATGTGCGTTGAGCTGCTCTGAGCTCGGGAAGCCTTTATCACAGGGAATGCAGACGTACAAATTGTCCCCGAAGCTTTCGGGCTCATACGGCATATGGAATCTCCCGATGGGGCCGGTAGGGGACGGACGGCCCTCGCTGCTGCCCGTCTCCTCCGTGCCAGAGCCACTCTTGTCGTCCACGCCTTCGCTCTCCTCCCCTGGCTTGTGATGATTGTGATGCTGGTCCCCGTTCTCAGCCCCTTCTTCTTCATCCTCATCCTCGTCTTCATCTTCCCCATTGTACGGCAGGGGCTCGTGTTTCACCCAGCGGTAGATGTTTCCCATTTCTCTTCCTGCATTTTCACCTTCTGTTGGGGTGTCAGGGCTGGCGGGGCATGGGTAGCGGTCTGTCCCTTGGGAACCTGAGCGATGTAGATGAGGCAGGTGGGGGGCTAAGGGCTGATTTAGGTGGGGAAAGGATGGAGGTGTGAGGGAACCTGGCTGGTCGACAGGCTCCATCTTTTCGGACATAAAAGCTCTCCCATTTGCTCCGTGCATGGGACTAGTGGCTACAGTTAGAGCTTCATCCCGCTCCTCATTGCTGTGACTGTTTGCCATATGGGTTTGAGAGGGTGTGTGCTGAGACTGGGAGGTGGGACTCTTTTTGGAAAGATCGAGGCCAAAGCTGGGGGAGCAGTTCCTCTCGCCGTGGCCTGGGCGTCCCAGCTGAGCAGGCAGAGATGGGAACACCTGAGAGGCCTGGTTGGAAGTGGGGGCATACAACTCGCCGCTATGGATGGTTATTCGATGGGGGACCAGCTCATCCAGCAACGGCGCCCTGGGTGTGTTAAGAATCCCCCCCGGAGGACAGGACTGAATCACAGGAGTAGAAACTCTATACCTGCCTCCACCTCCTAGGCCCATGCCGCTGGGTCCCAATTTTGGGTAAGGTAGAAAGGCGGGACCGGGACGGGGCGGGTACTTCCCAATTTTCCTCAGCTTCTTTTTGCACAAGGCCACCAAGTCGAGCAGCTGCAGATAGCTGGCCGCTGCCAAGACGGCACCTAGATTGGGTTCAGTGGGAGACGTGGGGTCTCCCTCACTGAGGCGCCCGGTGTAGATGTAGTCCAGTATGATCCTGAAGACGGCTGGACTCACCATCTCGTGGTCGAGGTTGATGAGATTGTCGTGGACCACCAGGGACTTCAAGTAGTGGCTGCTGGCGGCCAGAATGTTCTTGTGAGCTCTGAAGAGCGCATTCTGCACCACAATGATGACATCACACAGAAAGCCTTTGGTGCGCTGGCTGTTGAGCTGCAGGAGGAGATCCCTAGCATGACTTGGAACTTCCATGGCATCCAGCATAGTCTTCAGTCCACCACCTGCAAGAGCAAAAATCTGTAAAATTTCATGCAGAAGTTGTCGTTCTGAAGTCAGCAAAAAAGGACACACAACAACATGGATGAATCAAAGGAAAATGTTTTTTTTTTAAAAAGTAAATAATTTTGCATGTTGGATTAATGAGAGTTTGATTCATAGCACATACATGCATTTTGAATTAAAGTTGTTGTTACGAGTACAAATATGCGGAGAAGTGAGTGCACAGGGCATGCTGCCTTTCAACTCGACAGGTTGGGAGATGAAAAATCTGACTTTTTTTCCGACCAGTAAACACAACATATGTAAACACTTGCAGATTGTTGCATCAACAACACTTTGAAGTGAAAGCTGCTACTGTTGGCCTTATCCAGCAGTATCAGTGAGGTGCACACACAGATGTATGAAGCTGAACGGATCAGTGGATGCTTTTTTTCTGATATCTGCACACTATTTGGTCTTAGAATCTTGTCTGTACCCTGCAGTATTATCATTCTTAATTAATTTTCTGTGTTTTTGACACTCTGCATGAATCTACGCGCCTCAATATCACGTCACTTTGCTGCCGCTACACCTGAATTTCCCACCGTGGAACAATAAAGGACATTTCTATTTTAAGCTATTCTTTTTTATTCTTTGGAGTTCATTCAGGTCTCAAAAGAGCCAGGTTAATAGCAGTTCACAGTAAGGCTGTAAAAAAATAGAACAAAGTTGTTACTTTTTATTTTTTTGGGTTTTCAAAACCTACCTTTCAGGGAACATGTTGAACTTAAGACACACTGGCAGCTCTTTTCAAAAATCTCAGCGTTAAGTTTGGTGACGCTAACCCTGCTAATAGGTAACATAAAATGCTAAAGAAAGCTTTGAATATACACGCTACAGTTTATCCTTTCACAGACTGCTGACCCGTGGTCTCCTCTTCTAATTTAAATAATGACTTTTTGTAGCTTGAAACACATTTAGCTCTGGGACAAACGAAGAGCCCTCTGCACCGAATCCCATTGAAAGCCTCATGGTTATTCCACCACATATTAATTTCTGAACTCGTCCAGAGTTAAAGCATTAGTGTTGTTGTTTCTAAATGAATATGAACTTGTTTTCTTTGCATTATTTGTTTTCTGAAAGCACTGCATCTTGTTAATTATTTTTGACCACTTCTCATTTCCTACACATAAGTACAAAATGTTTGCTTGGGATTTCAGAGACATGTTATCTATAGTTCATAGGACAAATAACAATGTTCATTTTACTCAAACATATCAACATAAAAAGTAAGAATCAGAGAAACTGACCATTTTAAGTGGTCTCTTAATTTTTTTTTCCAGAGCGGCATATATTTTTAACCTTGTTTTATATATATATATATATATAAATGTATTTTCTCTTATTACATTTCGTGAAGAGAAATCCAATTTGGCCAAAACCAGAATCTTTGCAAAAGTCGAGGAGTGAGCCACAAAATGTAGATTTTTGATAACAGCCTCTTTCTAATTTTGCCTTTTATGATTTAGGCTGAAACTTCATCTGACTCCACCTGACGGGAATGAAAGGGAAGTGTGTGGGAAGCGTCCACGAGGGCCAGCCAGCAACAGTGAACTTTCGCTGGAGGTGAGCACTGGGGATGGTTTTCTCATTAGCAGAAATTCAAGTCTGTGCATTGACCTCCCACTCGGCGAGCAAAACGGAGAGAAAGAGCTTGAGTTACCCAAGCCTCAGATATACATCTATTCTGTAAATTGCCAGCTTCCTGCTGAAAGTGCTGCAGAGGAGCAAGCGCAGAGCTTTCCGCAAGGCGAGAGACGAATGTTTCACAAGTGTGATGAACAGCAGGTATAAAGCGGCGGGGAGGACGGACGCGTCCAAAAAAAGAGAGAGCTCCAGCTCGCTCATTCTCCTCGGTCTTATAAGGACCACAGAGCGCACGAGGTGTAAATCAGCGTTAGACGGTTCGATACTTTGCACCGAGACGGGCTCCGGGAATCACACACACAAACGCACGCACGCACTTAAACATCAACACCGATTGTTCCATCGGGCCTAAAATAAACGACTGGGTCCGAACGCATGAAAAGCGCCGTATTGTTCAAGCGGTGGCATCCGAGGACAGTTTACTTCTGAGATTAAACGTCTCCAGCCGTCCCCCAGGGGCCTCGGTGTCACTGATGGGGGAAACAAGCAACTAAATAAATATCATGTCATCCGTCTGATCGCGGTCTTCCTGACACCAGCTCATTCACTTCTTGTTTATTTCACCCGCAGTGCAAGCGCTCAGAATAAGAAGGAGGAAGTAGAAAACCTTGACGAGTGAACTCATGAGAGGAGGAACTCGTGAAGAAGAAAAAAAATCTCATGCTGATTTTTATCCTTCAAAAAAAAAGTGCAGATTCTTGAAACTCGTGGGGAATTCTTAGCACTGTTTCTGATGATTTTTTTTTTTTTTTTGCAAGTGCATGTTCAGCACGACAAACGACAAAGTGGAAAGTCAGTCACAATGAGGAGTGGCAATTAGAACAATTGTTTCCAAATGCATCTTTATCATATATAAAAACTCCAGCATGGTTTTTTTCTTGTGTGTGTGTCTCTAAACAGCCCGATTATGACAATAAACACCAAGAGATGACGAAGAAATAACGCCTGATAAGTTGCATCAGACTCTGTGAGGTCACTGTCATTGCACACGTTCACACCTCTGATGACTTCGTTCTCTGTCCTGCTTCTGTTGCCTGCTGCCTCTCTGCTCCACAGCGTCCGTCGGACGCGCCGAGCCAGATAAAAGCGTGGCCCAACTTTTCAGACTTGCTGAAATGTTCTCTCTCCACTCCACTCAGCTCATTATCGCCCAGTGCCGAACCCTGATACCGTCAGTGTGCGGTTCTCAAGCAGCAGGCCGGCGCATCGAGCGACGGCTGCATCGGACGCAAGAAGAAAAAAAAGGAGAAAAACAGTCTCCCTTCTTCTACTGACTTATATTTATGAGGACAGATATTAAAGAAAGCTCAAGCTCAACAGCACTGTGTGTGCACCTAAGCGATGTTGTGCGTACAACACATTATTCTGGATTATGTGTTGTGGTGACAACAAGCATGATAGCTGTGGTCTAACCATGGAGATACCAAGTTTTGCTTTTTTTTTTATCTTTAGCTACTTCAAAACCCCACATCTTTAAAAAATAAATAAAATTAAAATATATATCTCAATGTGACCATGCAAAAAAGTACAAATAAAAAAATACAAAAAAGGCGTAACCACAGTTTTAATCACAGCATGCAGAGGAAATCTATAGAACTGTGAAGTGGTGTTTGAAGGCGATATTCTGCTGTTTGCGTTATATTAACGTTCCGCTTTTGTAACTTTTGTGGGTATGGAGAGAGGCAAAAAAAAAAAAAAAAAAAAGGACTCCAAGCCCTGACATCTGTTCAAAACATTGACATTTCGTTTGAGTGCAGCCACGCTCATTTAACTCTGCTCGTTTAGCACTGGCTTTATTTTTATTTTCTGCAGCACACAAGCAAATGTTGTGAGATTTAACATCAGCTGCAGAAAAAAACAAACAAAAAAAACTTCTTGTTAAGAGTTTAAGTCGGTCAGCAGAGATCAGAAACAGATCCCTGCTTGTAATATCAACGCATCAAAAAAAAAAAAAAGAAAGAAAAATAATTAGAATATTTTAAAAACTCCTCACAGATGCTAGAGATGCTGTTTGAAAGGGTCGTGCTGGTTTCTGCAGGAACGCTAAAAACCATCAGGTTCATTTGTGACCTGCGATTTCCTTCCAGTCAAACCCAGAGCAGAGCCAAAGTGTGAAGAACTGTCGATTTGTTCCTTTTCTCGCTCAGCTTCCCCATTTCGAGTGCGATTTCCAGTGCGTTGAAATCCAATTTTGATGCGTTGTGTGACTTAGGTGAGAGAGGGACAGGCAGACAGACAGACAGACAGACAGACAGACAGACAGACAGAGGGCTGCAGGCAGGCAGCTCTCCGTCCGTAATCTGTTTTACTCCGCTTCGCTTGTCGTGCAGTAAACCGAATCACGAGTGAACCCGGCTTTCTGATCCGAACCCATGCCCACCTCTAACCCCGATCCGGCTCACAAATGAAATGACAGAAAGTGTGAGATCGCCAGCAAAAACGGACACAAACAAACAAAACAAAAAAACCCAACAACGTGTCAACTCATTATGCAGTGGGAATGTTGCTGAAAGCAGCTTCAGATTATCATCAACCAGATGATTGGTTTCCCCGCGTGAACCCACGTTATTAAATCAACAACGTGACTGATGTTGCGTTCAAAAAAATAATAAAATAATAATAATAATAATAATGAGGAGAAAAAAAGTGATAGAGGGGAAGAAATGGTCTGAAAACGATACTGGAGGGGATGTTCAAAAATGCGGCGTTGAAACATGCTGCTCATTTTAGACGCTCATTTTTACGCACGTAAAAAATAAAGACGTCCGCATAATATCGCCAATGTAATATTCCCCGTTAATAATAAATTAATTAATTAATACAAAAAAAAATCCGACCGTCTTTAGATCGCCCAGTGTGACACAGAGAGCAACCTCTGTGCTGCTGATCAACCAAGACTGGAGCAAAAACGTAGCAGGATGGACTTCAATAAGAAGTAACAATGATAGTAGGAGTGATAATAATAATAATGATAATAATAAAAGAAAAGTCAAATAAAGAAAGAAAGCGGAATAAAGCCGCCGGTTCTGGACCGGAGCGCAGCAGCGCCATCCTTCCTCCCCGCCGCGTGTCGCCGCCTGAGCGGCGCGGCTCTTACCTGCATGCCCGATGTCTCCTGCCATCCGATCTAAGTCTCCCTTAATGATCATCTCAGCAGTATCTGGGAGTCATATCTGACGTTTCAGTGCTCAACTGCCAGCCTCCAAAAACCCATGCCAGTTTTCCGAGCGCGTCTGCCAGCTCTCTCTCTCTCTCTCTCCTCTCTATTTCTCTCTCTCTCTCTCTCTCTCTCTCTCTCTCCTCTCTATTTCTCTCTCTCTCTCTCTTCTTTTTTCTATGATTATTAATTGATATGAATTTCTTCTCGCTCCTCGGGTCCGTCCTCCCTCCCACCTACGTTTTTTTTCTTCCTCCCACTGTCTCTCACTGCCCCGCCTCTCTTTTTTATCCTATACGGAACCCCCTCCCCCCCAAAAAAACATATATATTCACATATGCTTGCACCAGCATCAACCTTTCCCCCTCTCCTCTTGCTCCCCTCTTTTCTTCCTTTCTCTCTTCTTCTCTCCGTCTCTCTTAATTTCCTCAGCTATTTCTGAGTTCTGCCCAAATAACGCGGAGCGAGATGATAATGGAGCCTCTGTGCGCCTTAAGTGTTTTAGCGCCCCGTGTGATGTCAGTCTATAATAAAACTAAAAGGTAACGTCGAGGGCAGGAACTTCGAGTGACCCCGACGTGAACTCCCCAGCACGTCGTCTTAAAGGGACAGGCGCGGCCGTCGCTGAGATCCGACGGCGAACACTTTGAGGATGTTGGGGAGAATGATTTGCGGATAAATAGCCTAAATAATAAATTTAAAAAAAAATACTAGGAGTACGTTGTGCTTATTTATTTATGTATTTCAATTTAGTTCTGAGATGCAATTTGAACTAATTAATTTCACTTGGGTTCATTTGCATTCTGGTTTTGCTCTCATTGCCGAAGGGGGAGGAATGAAGGTCGTCCACTTTTTCACAAGTATGCAAGAAAAGCCCCTCAAACGGAGCCGCAAATGTTCAATTCAATCGACTGGACACCTGCTGTGCAACACCAAGTCCGCTGCTCGTCAGCTGGACGGATCCAGCCGACGGCTTCTTTACGCACGGAGGCCTTCTAAACGTGATGAATCTAGAAAACTAAAAGTTTGCGTTTCCCTTTTCATTTGGGGGACGTGCTCAGACAATATTTGAACTTTTGTTTGCCTTATTTATTCTCAAGGTTCTTTTGCATCGCCTAAATGTGGTCGACCACTTTTCAGCAAATATTACAGCTTCATTTATTATTATTATTTGTTAAAGATAAACGGATGAGTCAAATCCACATGTTTGGTCCGCTTCATTAAAAAAAAAGACTTAAAAGGAAGTCATATAAGAAACCCTTGGATGAACTTCATCCCTGCGGTCTGGGTGCCATCCCTGTCCCCTCTCTCTCTTACCTCGGACTCATGTCTGGTGCTCCCGCCGCGCGTCTTCGCCCCTTTTCGGCATCCGCACCCCCCTCCAGCCGCCGCCGCTGTGATCTCCGCTGTTCCCCACTGGAGTCCTGCGAAAAGCCCAGAGAGAGAGAGAAAGGAAGAAGCGTCTCTCCGGGACTCTCTCCCTCTCTGCGTCTCTCAGTCTCAGTTCCCTTCTCTCCGCGAGTCGGGATTTTTTTTTTTTTCTCACGCGTTAACAGGACCATCTGACACTTTGGGCTGTGTTTTTTGGGGTCCGATCGGACCCAAACGCGCGGCCCCGGCCGAGAGTCTACGCGCACAGCGACACCTAATGGCGGAGCGGCGCACAGAGCCGGTTCCCCGGGGCCGGGCCAGCACGGGGAGGTTCCGACTTTTTTCCGACTCATTTTTACATAAAAGTCATTGATAAAATATGCAAAAAGTGTTAAATTTTTATTCTGCCTATAAGCTAGCACAGGCCATAAGCTTTTTGTACACACAAAGTCATATGTGATCACTGCATTGGCACAAATTAGGGCTCCGTCGATTATTTTAACTAATCCATGGATCATTCTGACAATTGCAGAAAAAATGGTACTTTGTACAGATTTTCCATTTAACCACTTCATGCTTTTTTTCATCCAAACGTGCAAATATAAGCAGGTCATTCTATTCCTTTTCTAAAAAGGAATTTTAAGCGATAAAATAAAAACATAAAATCGCTTTCACAAATCTGAGGTTTTATAGGCAAAGGTGATTTTATCTTACATGCCTACTCTTTCCATACGGCGCTGAAGTTGTTTTTTCAAGCAAATGGCCCTTGTATCAGTTAACGATTAATCGATTGTGAACTTAGCTGACAATTATTGCAGCAATTGATTGATCACAATTAATCAATTCGACCCCAGTTTTTCAGGCGTTTTTTTTTTTAAAGTCTTTCCATTACAACCAGAGCTCCTTGAAGGACGACAGGTTGAACTGACGAGGCTAATTATTTTACCATCACACACAGCCGATGTGATCCAGAGAAGCACTCGCCACGCCAAGGTCTATTCACGTCTGTTTTGATCACAACAGCATCTGACAATCTCATAAAGGACGCTGGGGTCTCTTCCTCTACGAATTATGCAGAGTTCAAGGAGCTGCAGGTCTCATTGAAATGATGCAATCCACCCCAAGAGCCTGTCGCAGTCGAGGAAAGGTATTGTCTCTCGCTTCCAGGTTGCCTCGATGAACTGGTGATAACCCCGGCGGGAGAAGGGCCCATGCAGAAGAATAGGTATCTTCTATCAAGGATGTGGCCGTTTCAATTCAACGCTCCAAAAATAGCGTCTGCCAGCGGAAGAAGGTAATGATGCATTATGCTGATGCTCGGGTCTTTTGGACAGGTTTTTTTTTTCTTTTTTTCTTCATATTACCGGTCACTTAAAATGATTTTAACTGTTGTTTTTAAAACGCCGTAACAGTTTTGTAAGAAACTGAAGTTTTTTTTTGTTTTTTTTTTGTTTTTTTTTTTCTCACAGTAGATCTACAGACCTTTCAAAATATTCATACACGGCACTTTTCAAATGTGGATAATAACCATAAATTATACAGTATCTTATTGGGGGTCAAAGCAACAGGTCAGCACAAAGTGGCCCGGACATGCAAAGTGAAAGAAAAAGAACAAATAACATTCAGCATTTTTGGCAAGTGATCGTTTGAAAAGTGTCACTCAGCCCCCTTTAGGCGGTGTTTGGTAACGTTTTCTTGGTCTGACTTGAACCTGCTGAAAGGTGAGTCAGTTTGTCTCTTTCACCTTTTGTGCATTGAGACACTAAAATTGCTGTCCTCTTTAAATAGCATAATTTTGTCCCCACATGTCATGTTGAAATCAACAACCTTGAGGAGTTTTCCTCCGATTTTCTGACAGACTAACACAAGCTAGAGAATAAATGTAGTGGAAGAGGCACATAGTGGCATTTTGTAGCACAATCAAGTGACTTCAGTTACTTTCAGCAATACAAATGCTGTACATATTCATAACATACATTAAAAGAAAACTTCCTTTGTGATTTAATGCTTTGAAATATGCTTTTGTCTCTTTAAGAAACTCCTGCTCTTTCTGACAACAATGCTCCTCATTATGCCGTTTGCAACTGTTCCTCGGATTGTTGGACTAGTTTTTAATGAGGTTCTTTCATTCAAGGTAAGCACCTTGCACCGCATGTTTTCTGTGTCCTCTGGGTTTGCGGCAAATTGTGAACAGGAAGGAATCACAACCTGATTCACCAGGCTGAGCTGTAGATCTCTGCACATCCTGGATTTAAAGAAAAAGTGCAGATCAACCAGTTTGAAAACAATGCATCCCATCCTCTCTCTTCATATTTATGCAACCTCTCATGTTGGTCTACAAAACACGTCAAAGTTTTGGGTTGAAACATTGCAAACCTTTGAAAAGAAATGACAAGTTTTGCGTTTTGTCTCCTTCGGCTCCATGCCACTTTGGAAGAAATTCTGATTGCAGTGGCTGTCAAATGTCTCTTCGTTGTCAGGATGAAGGCGGGACGGTGCAGGCAGCTTCCACGGTCATAAATAAAAACACATCTTGCACTCGCACAGGCAAAACGGATCCTGCAGAGAAGGCGTCTAATCGCCAGCGCGCGGCCATGAACAAATACGATTAAGACAAATCAAATACCTCTGATGCGATTAACAGCGCATGCAGGCCGTATCTGAGATAATTAAAGAGTCGCCACAGACTCGTAAAGATCCCAGTTCACTTCCAGCTGGAAGGCTGCTATACATACCATACCCGCCCACACCCGGCCCCTTCTTCACCCCGTGTTTTCTCCCTGCCAGTCATCCATTAAAGGCATAAAAAAAACACCCCTCAATAAAATAATAGTCTTATAAAAATATACATTATTATAGACGCACTGCCAAATTTGTGCAGGTTTGCAGGTCTCCATTGTCTTCCCAGACGAGCTTTATCTCCAGTCAATCAGCCCCTCCAGTTCCCGAGGCCCGTGCTGGACATTACATTTCAGCCTGTCCAAATACAATTTGACATACTGCAATCTGGAGCTCAGCAAACCTGAAATGTTGAACTTTTGATGAACCAAATGCAAAAAAAGAAAAAAAAAGCGCCTTCAAATGGTTGATTGTTAGCATATATTTGATTAAAACGCAGCCACGAGAGCCCATCGTACCGCCTTGTTCGTGCAAGGCGCCTTTCCAACAGGAACCAGAGCTGGAGATAAGGCGGTCCGAGCAAAGCTAAGTCCTTTAACAGCCAGCTGTCACCCTCTAAATCACACACCTTCCGCCACCCGGACTATTTCTTCAAGTGTGAGGGTTGCAGCTTTTTTCTTTCTTTCTTTCTTTTTGCATGTGCAGAACCTCAGCAACTATGGAAAACACAATGAAGGGGCGCTCCGAATGACTGTAACAGAATCTCGCGGTCGCCCACATGTTGCGGAGGTCACCGTGCTACTCGAGGCCCCCGGGGCCCGCCTCGTTCCGACGTTTATAGTGATGAATAACGCGATCACCTTATTATTGTTCCATTTGTGGCTGCCAGAACACAAGACCGAGCGCTTGCCGAACAATAGGCAGGACTGGCTAAAAGTGACTTTATCACCTTAAAACAGATGTTCCGCTCTTTTTCACGGCCTCCATCGCACCGGGCCCTTTTGACTCTCTCCTGTCGTTCTCTTGTTCCAATCCGTCACCCTGTTTCTTTTGAGTTTCTCTCTCGTTTCAAGACAGCGACAGGGCCACACATATCTCTCTGTGATGACTTGCCATGACCACTCCGCCA